AAAGCATATGTCAAACATCCCACAAGTGCTGCTGCCCCTCAGGTACAACCTCGGGCACTGGCACCCTGTAGCTCACAATAGCTAATTTTTAAGGATATTTAAGGATTATTTTTAATCCTTTAAATGCAGTTAGGTCCACACACAGAGAAGCCAGCTAATCTCACGTGTCTCAGCGATGTGCTTTGTTTTCCAGCCCAGTTCTTCCCCTCCAGCCCGCTGCCTTCTGGCAAGGAGTCATAAACTGAGCTGCATCCTGCATAGGCAGAACCTAATGCCTCTGCTCCCACCGCTGGTGGGACAGCTGGCCAGACACAGCATCACCTAACCCCTACCAGAAGCTTTGTTTTCTTTAACACTATTCGTGCTTACAAGAGGAAAGGTTTTCCAGCAACAGCACCACCATGTGAGCCTTCGAGATTGTTTCTTTGCTTTAAGCTGATCACAGCAGCCTTGCTGGGTTCAAAGCCAGGGTAAGGCCGTTTGTCTGCTGGGGAATAGCAAATTGGTGGACAGCAGTTTAATGCAGTTGCATTGGTATCATCCACAAAGGCCTTGGATATGCCAGAAAGCAGCAGTGCATACTGAAAGGAGTTTATGCTTTGTCTGTGCTAAATGTGCTCCTCCACTTCTAGGCAGGTGAGAGAAGTGGCGTTTCAGGCCATCTCAGCTAACTGCAATCGGGATACGGGGGCAGTAGGGCTGGCACAAGCCAACCTGCCACAAAGCCACAGCTCTGCCTGTCATAAAGGGCACAGTCATGTTTCTCCCCATCACAGAATGCACCCTTGGGAGGAGCCATTTGTACCTGTCCGCTGGGGCTAACATTGAGACTTTCCCGTTACAGCATCCAGGGGACTGGCTGCACCGTCATCATCAGTGGCACCATCACCCTTCCAAATATTAATGTTTAATAGTTTGCTGCCTTGTGGGATCTTCTCTGCAATGCCTTTAGGAGAATTATGTATATCCTCTGGGAGCTGGGGAAGCTGAACTAAATGGTCCACAATTCTCTTCATTGCCGTGATTGTTCATTTTTGCCTTGCACATTTTTAATGTTCAGTGCTTCTTCCCTGCTCCCAGCCCTCACACACCAGTGTACAAAGGGTGCTGGACAGGGAAGAAGCACGCTGTGCAGCTATGGGGACTTCAGCTCACTATACACGTAAGTGCCTCAGGAGAGTAATTATGCAGGGCTGCAAGGCCACAGAAATGATGCTCTGCTACACCGGTCTGTGACAGGCAGGAAATAGAGGGGCACTATACAATCACAGTGATGCAGAAAAAGCTGGATGCATGTCTCCAGTTTGTCTCTTCCACATACTGCAGCATGCATAGCTATACACTAGTCCTTTCCCACAACTCCACATGCTCTGGGGAATCCCAAGAACATTTTCTTGACATTATAGTTCCATGATCAGAATAGATGTAGGAGATCCAAAGTTATTCCAGATTTTTGGAAACATGCCTAGAAAGAAGGACAAATGTCCCAGGCTGGCACTTCAAGTCCCGCCATCAGTTTAGACTCCATGGAGACTTTGACCACATATTGCTTCTCTGGCAGATGAAACCCTACCACACAAGCCCTGGGACAGCAGTGCAGGTTGTTCAGTGGGTATGGGACCCTTAATGCTAAAGCTGCATCTTGCCTTTTGTATAAAGTTTGCAGAGCTGGGGGGAAGACGGAGGGAAGGGATTTGGACAGAGGCAATTACAGAAAAGAGCACTTAAAAGAGCTGCAGGGCTGAAGGAGGCCTTGCAAGGAGTTTGTCACTAGGTTGTATATCAGTGCTACTGAACATACTGCTAGTTAGGGCAATGCCATGTATAAACTACAACTTTGGCTTGTATATGAATTTTCAATGAGCTGTTAGTAAACCCAATGAATCCAGCAAGAGAATACCAATTTAGAGCACTGACAGTCTTCTGCTCTACAAGATCAAGTAAATAACTCCGTAAATTCCTCAAGTAAATTTCCTGACACTTTATTGAGCATGAATGAACAAACAAACCAACAGAAAACCCCAGAATTACTTCTACAGCCACTATATGCTACAGGAAACCAGAGCTAGGGGAGATGCTGGCCCAGAGCGTGCTGTACCAGCCATCCTCCTTGCTTGCTGCTGGGGTGGGCAGGAGGAGGATGCTTTTGGCATGGCTGGATGCAAGGGCACACACTGGGAAAGCACCAGCTATTGGGATTTGCTCTCAGGATATTTTGGTAGGACATTTATTGTCGCTTTTCAAGGGCTACAGCATGTCTTGAGGCAATTCCATACATCCCTCCTGGAGCTCTTGAAAACTTCTGAGAACATGCCCACTCTTGCCTGCATTTTAACACCCCGATCACAATCAACTTTTGAGCATCTATGGAATAATACTTCACCAAGACAGAGCGGGTAAGATGACTGAAAAATAAAAGACACACTTAAGGAAAAAGACACTATTTTGGATAAAACATGTGGGTTAGTGTTTTTCCCCACACCATGAACTAGGGGACTTTCTCCAGGATTGGATCAGAAGGGAACACACAGAGTTTAAAGCTGAAAAAAACTCAAAGGTTTTCACCAGTGTTTTTCCCTGTGTATGAAGAAATAGAATATACAATAGTCTACAGATTGTTCCTATGCATGCCAGCATCACAGGGAAGGTCACCCTGTAGCCTATATTCTGCTCACTTTCTTGCATAGATTGTGCCTCTAAAGCTCACCGCAATGCAACACTCATTGTTGATCCTGGCCAGGCTAGCAACATTTCCTGTCACTATGTGCTCAAAGATTAAGCAATCTGCTGCCTAGAAACTCCACTGAGAAATATCTGGGCGAAGATCCACCCGAAACCCCAAGAAAGCAGCAGCAGGAAAGCTCAGTGCTTAGTTTAAAAGCCAAGTGCCCCTGACTCAGCACCAACATGCCTCTTTCTACCCTGGAAGCCAAGCGCAGCAGGCAATAATCTCTTCAAGCAACTTGGTGAAGTACCCAAACACGACATGGCCTATGTTCCCTTCACATTACTAATCATACAACTGTGCATTTGAGCAGTCCATTACCAGATGGGTTTCAGAATGATTTTAAATGTTAGTTTGCATTTTCTTTGAATATTTAAATGTTCATGCTGGCCTGTTTTCCTTTCTTATGCAGCGCATTGATTTATGTTGCTAGAACCACATCTCCCTGCCTTGCCAAAAGCATGCATTTGGGAAGGATTTCAGGGCTGCCAGCAATATTTTTTCTGTCCTTTTATTCTGTTATTTTTATTAACTTTTTTGCTGGATAGATCGTTAAAATAAAAGTGTGTCTTGAAGAAACAAAGATAAAACCCCAAACCCCTCGTCAGCCCTTTGCCCATCTGCTTCATACACCATTTTCAGCACAGTTAGCTCTGTGGCCATGAGCAAAACAAAAGCAGTAGATATGTACTGACATACCCACCCGAGCTTCTCCTCCCTCAGGAAATCCATGTGTGGGAATCAACCAGGTCCATGGTCAGGACTCCAGATGTCCCATTCTTAGGAGGCAGGAGGTGACTGAAGACACTTGACTGCAGGACCTCAGGCCACTCTTACACTGAACACTATCTGTCCCCTGAACACACAGACACTCTGGCTTGTTCTTGCCTGCCCTCAGAGATCTGCACTGACAAGGCCTCACAGCAGCCACCATCAACTCCATTGGGGAACCCTGAGCATGCACCAAGCTGAGACCTGGAAGGCAGCAGCTAAGCCTGCCTAGTATCTGTCCCCAGTGCGGCGCAGAACAGATTGTCATTTCCAGCCCTCAAGCAGGAACACAAAAGCACAGTCCCACCTCTTGCAAACACCTTCCCATTTGGGTTGCACTGCTCCCAGGCTCGTTTGTATCCCAGTGCTGTTACGTGTGCTGCTGGGGGAGCTCCCCTTCCCCTCACATGCCCAAGTACCCACAGCACTTACCCCACAGAAGATGGCTGGGGCACAGGGTACAATGAAGGATGTTTCACCCTCAGCATCCCGATAATACACCGTTCATCCCCAACCCCATCTGCTGGCTCAAGTGGGGGATCTGCCCATCAACATGAAATGCAGCCTGCAGAGCTGAGGCTATGCAGAATGAGTGCTCCACATGAATCACAGTTGCTGGGGATATAAAACACCCAGCCACCCTTCCCAGGCTCCTGCCAGCACCAACCCTCCCTTGCTATATTTCTGAGCTGCTCCATGCTCCACTAGCAGAGGGGAGAAGTAATTTTACTTCAAGTGTCACCTCTGAAAGTTGCAAGTGGGAACAAGAATAGATGAGCTTATCTGCAACAAATAGTTAAAACCAGCTAGTAGCTCCAGAGACAACAGTCAGGAAGAGCAGTTCCCTTTCTAAACAACAGAGTCAAGTGTCAAAAATGCGAAGCAAGTGTCATTACAAGGTTTCTGGATGCATTTCTTTTCCCTAATCTGCACAGGCAGCAAGCAAAGATGAACACTCTTTGATAAAGCCAAAAAGGAGACCAAACGCATAGGACTTTCTTTCAAAGGAAGCATTTTGGAGTTCTTAGTGTTCTTGCGGCACTGCTTCACTAGTTTTGGTTTGGGCTCTAACACTGCTTGCTCATCCATGTGGGGACAAATAAACATGTGATAGAAAACTATTTCCTTTTGTGCAGAGCTTAGGAGAGCATCAAGCAGAGCCTGGGGAAAGTTCCATTCCTCAGTGCCTCTTTGAGGACTGGCTTTCACTTCAAATTATACAAAAAGAGATTCCCATCAGGTAGAATTACCACCATAAAAATCAATGCAAATACATACACCCACCACAAACCGCATTTCATTTACAAGCCCAAGAACACTTCCAAACTGGAGGTGGGACTCCATAACTCAGCCCCACCTGAACAGTGAGCACACCATCAAGGCAAGGAGCCCAGCCACCACAGGCAAGGCTTGGCATCCCTGGTACAAGCATTTCTACATAGAGTGGACCAAACAGTGAGTAGAAGGATGGTTAAGCACACGTCAGAGCAAACTTTGTACTCACCAATCCTCAGGGAATGGGGGCTGGCAGCGATCCTCATCAGCCACAGCAGAAGGAGCACCAGAGGCGCCAAGACACGGGGCATCTTCCATAAATCCTCATGGAGCCCTTTGGTGGTCTGGGCATGACATAACTCTCTGCAGAGAGAGAACACGAGGCACCATGAGCACCTCTGCTCTTGAACCAGCAACTCAGCAGGATGACACTGCTTTGAGCTTGCCAAGCACTTGGGACAAAGAGTCTATTTACCAAAGGAGGAGGAGGAGGGAGCTATTTACAGAGTATGAATTATTCAGGAATTGGAGTCAAACTGGGCAAGGAGCTTACAACAACAACAACAAAAAATGGTAGAAAAACAAGGCAAAGTCCAAATATTTCATCTTGGCATTTTTAGCATTTCCACAAAACAAAGTGGAAATCAATACCGAGTGAGATCTCTAATTTCTCTTTCCACCTTCTCCCCACCCCTTTGTTTCCACTCAAAACAACCTACAACTTAAAATATAATACTGACTTCTGGTTTTAGGATAGGACAAAACATTTTCATACCAAAGTATGATTTGAGGGATTGGAGTTGAAGAGAGCCATTTGGCTACCAAACTAGAAACCCATTATTTGTACTGGTCCTGTCCCAGTGACAGGCACCACCTCCTTCCCTCCCTTTAAGATGCAAGAGGATTAAGGACAAGACCAAGAGCAGGATCACCCAATACACAGAGGTTTAACTTTCAAAGCTGAAACACCATCAGAATGAAGAGCAGTAGGTGGACAATCCACAAACCTATCATTAGTACAATTATTGGCACTGGTTGTCCCACAGCCGACTCCTGCAGCACAGTTAGACAAATTTTTGGCAAATACCATTTGAAACAGCTACATAGAGAGGAGATTTTACTTTATAGGAGAAATGATTGAACCTCAAGTTGATAAAAATCATCTTCAAGGCAGCAATGTCCTTAAATACTGACTATTTAATCTGCTATCTTATCTCTCCCTTGTCCAATTATCTGGCAAACATTCTCATACTATTCCATTTGTCTAACTCTTGGGCTAAATACTCCAGTCCTGACAGAGGCTGAGTCTTTAATCTGCCTTTGAAGTTACCAGGAGTTTTGTTTGAGAAAGACACAGCTTTTTGCATGGAATTTTTCAATTTGTCTAATTTTAGATTACATTCAGATTTCCTCCATCTCATCTTAGCACTTCTCAGAGGGGCGCACTGCTTTTCACAGGAAAAGAAATGCTGAGATGTGCCCATAGAAGCAAAGGGAACACAGGGGCTGAGCAGGGAGCACATCTCCATTCCCTGGGGCTTGATCTCTCTCTGAATCAATGTCTCCCTTGCATTCCGAGTCCCAATACTCTCCGTTGGAGAAAAATCAAGGGACTCCATGCTCAAATGTCAGTTGGACATTTGAAGAGCATCCTGATGGCAGAAGTTGTGAGCTCAATGCATTTTTAAGCTGCAAAAGCTGCCAAAAAACACCAGGAAATCATTAGCCTCCTCTGAGAAGGGCAATGACAATTTTCCCTTCTTTTTAGTGGGAGTTACAGATTAATTCCTAGGGAGTAAAAAACCCTAACAGGTTAAGCGCATGGTAAATTGGTTACATGGAAGCGTTGGCAGCAGCATAGACAGATTGTGGAGCAACGTATCATTTGAGCACTTTGAAGCAATTATTTCCAAACTTTCTGAGTTATTGACAGAACAGCAGGATCACATCAGAGTTATTCACACCAGTATCACAGCGCCATAGAAGGAGCCAGCAGAACCTCAAGAGGAGCTTGAGTTCTGCATCATGCTCAGGATCGGCTCCAAAGCTGCTGCCCTAGACTAATAGTCTTATTCTCTTCCTATAGGACCTGCACTGCCACCCTAGGTATCTTTCAGTGCAAACAATGTCCTGAGCACCCAGCCAATGGTGATTAACTACATGTCAACTAACAAAACATCTGATAAAGAATCTCAGATGTGTTTTGCCTTCTTTCTCCTCTACTGTCCCCTCCTGCCTGGCCAAGACAGTCTAGAAGAGACTAGAAGAGCCTACAAGAGCCATCAGAGAAAGAAAGGCAGAGAAAGGCTTCAAACGCATCTTGACACATTACTACAAACCTGGCAAATGCTCCTCCCTGCTGTTTCCTCACCACAGCATCACCTCTTTGTTCAAAAGAGCAACTCATCAAACGGGGTTTGTACCAAAAACTAGCAGAAACCTTTGGCACTTTGCACTGCACCATCACCTTTAGCAGGGTACCTGCACTCCCCACAGCCCATTCCTTTTGCACATCCGAGGGATGGACCACAAAGCCAGTTCTCCTGTTTACAGCCTGGTTTGGTGAAGAGGTGAATTACAAAATTCCCAGGGAAGCAGCTGCCTTTGCATCACCAGCTTAGTGTTAATAGCAAAGCTAAATAATAAATACAGGGCACCCGCTGTGCTGTTCTACGTGAGCGGCAGGGTTGTAATTACCTAGAACATGGAGCACAGAGGGATGCTGTGTTCACCTAACGCATTACCCACTGCTAAGAACAGCTTCCCAGTGCTTGGATTTTTGAGCACTAACCGAAGGAACAGCTGTCAGCAATAGAAATACACCTTGGGGTTCGCCAAAGAGCAGAACTACACATGTTCCTGCAACCAATACCCATCGACCATCTGGTTGATGAAGGTGCTTGCAAAATACCCAAGGATTGCAACACAAGGACACTTTGCTATCATCACACCTGTGCCACCGAGCAGTGGGAACAGGCATGGGAATTCAAGACTTAGGATGAGAGGGAAAGGAGAGGGAGGATTTTTCCTCCTAGCCTAACATCAAGGTATCTACTCTTAGAAGAACAAAGTGACATTTCATTCCCCGTGACTATCCTCATCTCCCCAATACCCAAGTTGCTCCTATCTCCTACTCTCTAAATTCAGGCATGCAAGGGTGGTAAACACAGTTCAAACCTCTTCTTTGTAAAGTCATGTTTGCTTTGCTGAGTTAGCTGTCCTCCCAACAGCTTTTGCTTCCTTACAGCTGCAAGGTGCACCTTTCTCTCTCTCATCTCCCCACGAGTAGCCATAAAACATGCTTTCTGCCCAAGTGCAGCAATGAATTGTAGGTATTAAGTCCAGCGCAGCCTGAAATTCCACACAGAGAAGGGAGGAAGATAACCCTCTTCCATGCAACACAAAGCAGAAAGCCTTAGAAGCCAAGAAAACACTTAAGAGATCAAGGGTATTTAGCAACTTGCTGCACTAATTCTTGTGCATGTGGAGATGGCTTATCCCAGGCTCATTCTCACCACAGTTTGCTGGAAATAAATCAAACCAACTTCTCTTACTGAAGTTTGCACTAAGAGCACGCCAGCCTGTTTGTACATTCACAGCTCTTGCATTAATGGCTTCTCTTTATTATACTGGCAGCGTGCTATGACAGCAAGCAAGCCTGGTTGATGGACAGCTGTTTATAAAGCAGCCTGAATCTGCTACCTCCAAAAGGGGTAGGCTGGCTAGAAAAGACTTTCATAGGTCCTTCAGGGTGGTACATGAGTTGCTGAATAGGTGGTGGACCGCAAGCTGGCCCCTGGCTTCTCTCTGCCCAGCACAAGTCATTTCCTGTTCAGCTCTTTTTCATCTTTAGCTCTGAAAATTCGAGAGAATAAAATAAATCAAGACTGTACTGAATAGTTTTGAGTTCTCTCTGGAGATAAAAGTCTCTAAATACCAAGCAGAATTATGGACAATTTGCTCCTCAGAGGAAGCAACTTGCTTCTGAAACTACTTATACATTTTTAATGACTTTGAGATAGCAATGAAGAAGAGAATCATCACCACACCATCCTGGTATTATGAGATTTTTGCAAGCAAATTCTTAGACAATACAGCAAAAGCCAAAAGGTAGAATAAAATGTTAAGTCACAGAATAAAACCCTCCTGAAGCTGCCACAACAATAGTGAAGATATGCCTGAACACCAGCCACCTCTTTCCTCTCCCTCTTGTTCCCTCTGCCAAGGACACTTAAGAAATCCAGGCATCTTGCTATTTCTGTTCACACTTGCAAAGATACTACCACCCTGAAAAACCTGCTTGCCACCTGCCCTGCCACATCTGTATCCAGCATGCTGGAGAGCCCTGGAGATGTGCTGCCTCCCACCAAGATAGGGCACAGCATCTCCAGCTGCACTTCACTCCATGGTCCTGGAAGGAGGCTTTCAAAAACCCCAACATGTGCTTTATATCCTGATGTAACCTCCGTTTTCTTCTACTGCAAACTCCCTACACCATCGTCTGCAAGCTCACAGAGAAACCACAAACACCCTTTAAAATTGGCAGCAACTTCAATCTTATCCAGGCAATTGGGAAGCAGACTTTTACTCAAACGCTACTTTGGAGGTGGCTTCGGTGTTGATGGATCTTTCTGTGCATCACCAGAAGCTTGATGAATGGTGAGAAAACGCAGCTCAAGCAAAGCTAGAGTAATCCTCACAGCTGAGACAACAAATTTAACAGCTGCAGAGCAGCAAGGAACTCTGAAGAACTGTCAGGAAATATCAACAAACAACTTAACAGAGCCTTTTTCATTCTTTCGACAAGCAAAGAAAGCTATTTCCTTTTGCAAAGCTTCATCTGTAGAGAGGCTCAAATTTAAATGGAACAGACAAGAGGGAAAGCAACTGAAAAACATTTCAACAAGTGACTGTTGCTGGGCTTGAGAAAGTGCCTGCGCGTCTCAGGGGGAGGGGAGGAACCAAATTGCAAGCCTGCCCCAGGGATACAAAGAGATATGTTCAATTAAACTGAAAAAATCACTCCATTTAAAGCTACCAACAATATGTTTTCCACTGCAAAATGCATAATTAGCATGGGTAAATCACTACCAGCAGGTATGATTGCAGTCAAAACCTCAGTAAGATTGAGAGAAGGATCAGACATACATAAAGAGAATGAGTAGCTGGAATTACAGTAGTAAAGTTGTGGGCTTTTTAAAGAGAAAATAAGATTTTGGAAGGCATGTAAAACCCTTCATGCTGCAAGGCACTGGCTAACTCCCTGTGTCTGAGGGTTAGAAGAATCACCCCTCGGGGCAAGCCTCTATAC